GAGTGGCATTGTCATTTGTATCTATAGTTGGTCTCGACCAGACTTCCTCAAACTAAGATTTCTAGAACACGTCGCTTCCAAGTAACACTAACTGTGCCCGCCATTCCCTGAGAATGCACGTCGTAAAGTACAAAACCGCTTCATAACTTCCAAATTCAACTCACTTAGGGTTTTTCCGTTTCCCAACGCTCTTAGGTAAATCCAATTATGTCCGAAATTCCCAGCGAATGCACGATGTAGAGTATCGATCCGATGTCGAAAGTCATCCAACAATCCACTTCATCACTACTGAGGCACAATCCCGACACGAATTCTTGTATTTCAACCAGAAGGTGAAAATTCAAACAGATAAAGGTTTGCACAACTATGCCGAATGACACCAAATCCGGAAGTCGTGACATCCAAATGATGTCATGACAGACACACTACTACAGTAACAGAAGGTCCTAAGTATGCTCTGAACAAAACCACGCTCTGATACCAATCTGACACGCCCCGACCCCGATATTCCCCGAACACCAGGATAGGCACGTGCTGGCCGACACCCGAGGGTGACGAAAGCCATTTATTAAGTGCAAATGCTGAAAATAAGGGATAAATAAGGTTTATAAAAGAATAATGAATATGCAAATAAGGACCGTATTCAGAGCACACCACTAATCTAGAACGCTAAAAGAAAATAATATAAAATTGAATGAAACAAAAGAGTGGGTCCTACACCGAGAGGACTCGAAGATGCCGATACGGAAGTGCCTAGACGTCGGGATTGTATGCCTCGATTCTAAGTCCTGAAGGGGGCGCAAAACAAACATGAGTGGACCAAGTTGATATATATATAATAAAACAGTTATCAACATACTAACCCCCAGGTTTTATGAAAACACATATATATAATGATAAACATAGGTTTTCCGAAACCTAGCATGTCATGCAATATCTCAAATCATAACATGTAAATATCATAAACACTAGTGAATGTCCGATACAACTCTCCAGGCCCCATGCCGGCTCCCCGTCTCTGAGCACACAGTCAGAGGAAAATACACTTCAGGCCCCATGCCGGATCCCCGTCTCTGAGCAGACAGTCAGAGGAAAACACACTCCAGGCCCTATGCCAACACCAAACCGTCGCCCGGAACGGACCGGATCTATCCCTACGTCCCGTAGCGGAAAGGACCACTAGGTAAGTACAAAACCAGTGAACATACATATATTGAAAATCAACTTCATAGTATAAAGTCATCCATCATCTATACTATAAAGAGGTGTTCTAAACATGTTCTAAATATCATATCGTCATCCATCAGATGTTCTATAAGAACATGGGTTATAGGAAAAATAGTAATCATTCAAACTAGCCTCAGTAAACATGTTATCTCGTAAAACGTTTCATAAAACATAATCATCAAATCATGCTTTTTATGTATGCATTTATACCATCAAAACATGCATTTTTAGAAGGGGTCCACTTACAGTACTTGGCCGTCGAAAAGCCACGCCATCTAGCGAAGAAGGAAACGTCGCAGATAATCACCCCTAAGCACATAAAGGGTACATTTAGTCAAACTCTACTCAAACGATTGAATTTGGGGAAACGGACATCGGAAACGGGTTCAGAACGTCAAAATTAGCCTAGGAGGGGTCCCGCACGAAAACCCAAAAAGTCAACCCCGAGGTCAAAGTCAACGTTGACCGTTGACCGGTCAAACTCAAAGTCAACGCTGACCGTTGACCGAGTCAACGGTCACCGGGTCATCGGGTCAACGGGTCAACGGGTCACGGGTCACGGGTCATGGGTTTTGGGTTAGGTTTTTAGGTGGGTTGGGTTGGGCTTGAACCCATACGGCCCAAAGGCCCACAACAGAAAGGGTGATGGGTTTTGGGCTAACAGGCCCTAAGGCCTTTTGAGTTTTTAAAAGAAATAAACTAAAAAATAAAAATAGAAAGGGTGAGGGTATTGGGCCAAAGATCCAAATCAGGCCTAAGGCCCGTGGGGGGAGGGAGATGGCCCGAAGGCCTGGGTGCCCGGAGAAGAACACCGGAGCTTCCATAGCTCTGGCCGACGCCAAACCTACAACCTAGACCCCGATCTAGGTACCAAAATGAAGCACTAGACGAGAGGAGTAGTTTTATACCTTGGGTTCGCCGTGAAACGGCCTGTGGTGGCCGGAAAAACCTTCGAACCTCACCCAACTCGCCGGAAATTTGGGTGTGCACTCACCCGTGCCAAAAACACTCCAAAACCTTGGAAATCAAGAACCCAAACTCAAAAACCACATCTAGGCAAAGTCCAACATAAGAAAAGAAGAAGAAAAAGGGCTTACCCAACCGAAAAACAACCAAAACTCGCCGGAGGTGTTCGTGTCCTCCCGGCGCCGCGAGCAGGGGAAAGAGAGAGAGAGAGATAGAGAGAGATGCAGTTGAATGGCAACGATGGTGACTCTTCTTGAGTTGGTGCAACTGTGGGTGTGTGTGTGTGCTCTCACGGGGAAGAAAAGGGAGAGAAATGGGGGAGTTTCGAAGGAAAGAAGAAGGTGCAGACAAAACAAACAAAAGAAAGGGAAAGGGAAGAACCGGGGAACAAAAACAGGGGGTGGGCCCCTTGGGCTCACCAATTAAGGTTCAAAAACAATTTTAAAAAAGAAGGTATCCCCCAAACTTAGTGAAAATACAAAAATACCCATTTTCTTACGTAAATCACGGGACGGGTTGTTACATACACATAATCATTAAGTAAGGGTATTTTATGGATTATTGAATGTTTCACCAAACTGGTCTTCTCCCTTTATATATATAGATAAAAATGAATTTAATTAAAAACAATTAAATATATTGGCAAAGAAAAGAAAACAAAGGAAAATGGTTTTGAAAACCAAATTTTAAAAGCCTAGGGTTCCGCCGTCCCCTTAACAATCTTATGTAGTTCTTCTAATTCCTTATGAATTACACATGCATATTTTGAAGGTTAGGTTTTCCTAAAGTATGCCATACTTGGAACCCTTAACATAGAACGTATATCTAACATGCAACCCGTCCGTGGTGTCCAAATAGAATGTGAAAATGCAAGACTCATTAAATTTTGTGAAAACCTTTTGAAGAACCATATAACTCTTAAGACGTGTTGTCCATCCTAAGTAGTTACACATGTTAACCACAAGAAGCCTTAGTCAATTTTAGGGACAACCCTCCGCCAAAATTGCATCAAATTACTTTTCTAAATATCCTAATGGTCACGAATCACTAAGACAAATAGATAGTTTAAAGCACAATGATTAACAATCCAAAACCTGCATGCATAAATTCATAAGCAATTAAAAAGAGACTACATATTCTTGCTAAGGCTCAAGGCATCGCCCTAGCAAACGAAACTAGTTACTAACAACCATAAAACAAAATATTATTAAAAACATGGATAGAAAACACCTTGAAAATAAACTTGAATCGTCAAGGCTCTCTAAAGCCAAAGTATTGCGTTCTCCCCCTAATGTTGCGTCCCCAACTCTAATGGCTAACAAGCCTTACTTATACTAATACAAAATAAAACCCTAAAAAGTCTTAGAGTAAAACTAGGAAACATAATTAAATAATAAGACCAAAAAAAAAAAAAATTTCCTATTTGAACTAAAATTCGGAGTTCTCAGAAAATCACACTTTTGACTGACCAAATCAACTCCGATTTGGTCTCAAAAGGTCTCTTTTGAAAGCTGAAGACGTTCCCTACAAATCCTCACAAGGAATCTTCCTCAAAATATGATATCTTGACCTCCAAAATACCCAAAACGTTCAGAAACGTCAATTTAGGAAAGCTGCGCGCTGGGTCTTTATTTCATCGCCACAGTCAAACGGCTTAGTAGAAAAATCTAGAATTTTGACACAATCATCTTGTAAGGAACACGAACATCCTCCAATTGGAATCACTCCAAAATTCATCCGTTTGGTTACTTTTTGCTCCAAAGGAAGTCGAATGTCTTACATTGAAAATACATAACAAAGTATCAAAATTCTACCAAAATAACTAATAAATTAATACTAAGATTAGGGTAACTATATATATAATATGGACTCATCACTGAGCATCTATTGACCGAACGCATCTGAAGTCCTATGGTCTACCATGTCCGAACGCCATCCGCGACACCGAATCTCTAATTCTTGTTCACACTCAAAATTTTTAATGTTAACAACGCAAATGTTGCAGAATCTATCCAAGAACGAACAAAGACGAAGAAATTAATCCCACATCGGAGCTAGAAACTTGCTCGGTTAATGATTCGACACTGTCCTAGGTTGTAGCTTGATAGAAATTTGTTCTGTGTTAGTATGTAGCTGTAGCCTTTTTTTCCGTTATTCTTTTTAGATAAACAAGCGGAAGTTAATTCGTGCTGTTAATCTGAACTCTCTATTGAGTTTGGACTTTCCGCTGTTTACCAGGAACTTCCCGGTAAAGCTTGTCTTGCGATCGCTTACAAGGGCAGAAGATAATTTCTCCATAATTCGATTTGTTCCTTCTTACATTTCACAAAAAGTTTGGCGGCACAAGTTTCCATTGCAATTGTCGATGACAAACGTATATGTTCTTACTATTCGCAAAAAATGTAGACTATGCCAGGCCGTGCATCTTAAGGCAAATGTAAGGCCAATCTAGGGCCGCCCGGCAGCGTAACTATTGCTTAGAGCGACCCTTTCGAACCACAATTGTGTATACGGCAAGTTATCTGGTCTCAGATAAACTGGGAAAAAGGAGAAAATAACAGAACTTAAGTGGTTTTGTCGTTGTTTCCTACTGAAGACATATTGCAAGTCAAAGAATTTTGTGGATTCGTTTGGTGCTACAATCGGATTAACTAGCTCATAAAAGGTCGGTCGAGGGAAGACGCGTGCTATGATGGATTGGACTGGATCATTCGTACGTGAAATATAAACGCGTTGAATACAAACTACCCCGTTATGTCTGTACAAAACCCAAAGGACTTCTTTGAAGTTGTCCTTAAATCTTTAACCTTAGAAAACCGAACAGTAGCTCCAAATGTGAATGGTAGCAGTGAGCGTTGCGTTTTTTAGGTCAAACAAAAACATTAACCTCAGGTGTTTTCACATTTCTGATCATTGGTAGGTGGGATTTGAACAATATATGAGTCATCTCGTTCCAACAGAATCGAAGTAGCTAGCGGTTATTTCCATGGCATTCAAAAATATCTCCCACCCGATCCTCTTCATCTTCCTCGTTTCTTGTAATTTTTTGTGTTCTTCTGCACAAACTTGGATTCGAGCTGGTTACTGGTACACCGGCTGCGACTTTCCTTTACCGGAGGTAAACTCTGCCTTGTTCACACATCTTATTTGTGCTTTTGCCAATGTGAATTCCTCCACCTACCAGCTCTCCATCCCTTCAGCTCATGAACAAAACTTCTCAAGCTTCACCGATATTGTCAAGCGCAAAAACCCATCAATCACAACGCTCCTATCCATATGGGACGGAAAAGCAGCAGCAAGTCAGCTAATTTTGGGTCAGAGAGCAAACTTTTCTGTCTTGTCTAAAATGCTCGAAATGCCTTCGAATAGAAAGTCTTTCGTTGAGTCCTCCATCGAAGTGGCTAGACGTTATGGCTTCCAAGGTATAGACTTACACTGGCATTGGCTTAACACAGCCTCAGATACGATCAATATGGAAAAGCTACTGGACGAGTGGCGAGCTGCTGTGACTTCTGAGGCAAGACACTCTGATCTGCCACGATTAATATTGACAATGGCGGTTAGGTATATTCCCACTTTTGAATCGTTGATTTATCCAGTTGAATCTATGAAGAGGAATTTGGATTGGGCGCATGTTGTGGCGTATGACTACCATCTGCCTTTAAAGGAGAATGTTACTGGTGCTCATGCTGCTTTATATGATCCTGCGAGCTATGTTAACACCGACTATGGGATAAAGCAATGGTTAAACTACTCATTTCCGGCCAGCAAACTGGTTTTGGGTATGCCTTACCATGGCTATGCTTGGACAGTTGCAAACTCCAAAGACAATAATGGAATCAGAGCACCTGCATCTGGCTTTGCTGTGACAAAAGATGGATCAATGAGCTATAAGTTCATCAAGTGGTACACTCGAATCTATGGAGGGGTCATAGCGTATAATGATACTTATGTCATGAATTACTGCACGGTAGGATCAACTTGGATTAATTTCGATGATGTGGAAGCTATCAGAGCTAAGATTGCATATGTGAAAGCGAAGAAGCTACTCGGTACCAATGTGTTTCAAGTCAGCAATGATGATGAAACTTGGGCGCTTTCTCGGGCAGGTAGGCAATACTTATCCCACAAGCAATGTTAATTATCGATGAAGATAAGCCAAAGAGATTTCCTAAGATGCGTTCCAACATGTCATCCAACTCGAGTTTATAGCATGCATGAACAAAGTTTAATTGTGACAACAGGCAATTTGCAGACATCTAATTGTTTTACTTCCAACTGCTTTAATGATTGACAGCTCAGGAGGAAGGAAATGATCACAAAAAGAAACCCCGGTTACTGCTTGTAATAGTGCTATCAGTTACTTTGGTCGTAATTCTCATAGCTTTCGTGGTGTGTTTCTGGCAGAGAGAACTATTGAAGACAAGAGGTTATATGCTCAACTGTGATGGTTTGTTTCTAATAGAAATTAAATGAAGAGATAGCGATCGGCATTAACATATTTGCATTTGAAATTTTTATTTCTTCTGGTTTCAGGGATGATTGTTCTAGGCAGATCAAGGTCTACTAGTACATCGGCTGTTGACAGTGATGCTCCGAATCTGAAAGTATACCGCTTTTCCAGTCTCAAAGTGGCTACAAATAACTTCTCGAGTGAAAACAAACTTGGAGAGGGTGGATTTGGTCCCGTTTACAAGGTAACATTTGGTACATGTTCTAAATATAATTTTATGCTGTGGGAACGTGGTTTAAAACTTGTGTAAAGGTCCCCTCAGACTGAACCGAAAGCTTATGCAACATCTACTCACAAAACAGGCAGAGTAGTTGTTTAATTATTCTTTTGCTAATCCTGTTTTTTTAGGGTAAGTTGCGGAGAGGTCCGGAAATAGCAGTGAAAAGGCTTTCGAAAACGTCTACTCAAGGACTTCAGGAATTCGAAAATGAGGTTAAACTTACCGCAAGACTACAACATGTGAATCTAGTTCCTGTTCTTGGATTTTGCACGGAGAAGGAAGAAAAAATGCTGATCTACGAGTACATGCCCAACAAAAGCTTGGACTTCTACCTTTTCGGTCTGCAATTTTTCGTGCTTCTCGTTAAATTTTAGAATGCATGCTAGAATAACAGTAATAACATTTACATTGGGCCTAAGCTTATGGAGGTGCAGATTACTTTCAACAAAATTTGTTTCAATTCAGTAGAACTTCATGGACGGATTCTTGAATTTGTCATCTCGCAGATCCTACCAGACGGTATTTCATGGATTGGGGAAAGCGTGTGCACATCATCGAAGGCGTTACTCAAGGACTCCTATATCTTCAAGAATACTCAAACTTCACAATCATTCACCGTGATCTAAAAGCTAGCAACATTTTGCTTGATGATGAGATGAATGCTAAGATTTCCGATTTTGGAATGGCCAAACTTTTCAGAAAAGATGAACTCGAAGGAAACACAAGGCGGATTGTTGGCACATAGTAAGTGATAAACTGCCTCTTATCAGTTATTTGCGTATGACCATATCCTTATACTTGTTATACGCAAATGCAGTGGCTACGTACCTCCTGAATACGTACGAAAAGGCATATACTCTATGAAGTACGACGTCTACAGCTTCGGAGTTCTACTTTTGCAAATGATTAGCGGACGGAAGAGTACAGGTTACTATGGTCCGAACGAAAGTATGCACCTCTTGGAATATGTAAGTTCGAGAAACTTTCTACGGTTCAAACTTCTGTCACAACCATAAACTATTACTTAAACATGAATTATTGAAGTCGTTAAAATTGTTTCAGGCATATGTATCATGGAAAGAGGACAAAGGACTGGAATTTATCGATCCGTCACTTGACGATTCTTCTTCTTCTTGTAAGTTATTGAGATGCTTGCAAGTGGCACTGCTCTGTGTCCAGGAAAATGCGGACGATAGGCCTACAATGCTGGAAGTTTATTCCATGCTCAAATCTGACACTCAAGCCGTTCCAACTCCTACAAAGACGGCTTTCTCAGTAAAAAATTACGACAATGTGGACAACATATGTACCCCGCAGCCAGGAAATTGTTCGGTTAATGATGCTCAGATCTCCGAACTGCAACCCCGATGAGAATGCAGGCTCGAGTGAAAATGCAGGCGCGAATGAGAAGCGTTTATGAGAAGAAGTGCACACAAGTTTCTCCCCATTTAGGATTCTTCACCTCGAGGATTTAGTACTTTGTTAAATGACCAAGTATATGCCAATTTGTTATACTGAATCTCACGTCGGAAGAGAAAGGACATTTCCGATTGGTTTTATGGTAAAGCCTCAACTCTCCTCGTCTATGTGATTATTTTATACAACAAAAACAAAACATTGGAGAAAAAAACTAAATTTCAGCCTGCATTGTTCCCAGACGAACACATGTGAACATGAAATTCACTTAAATCAACTTCTCAGATTTCATTCCAATCAGTAAAAGACAGAGTCCTCCTTTTTATATTTTAAAACAGATTAAGTTAAAATGGCCGGCAGAATTTCTTGCGAAATTGTTTTAATCTTAACTTAATATTTAAATTTAACAATAAACTACTTCCTAAATTAATTATATAGCATAATTTTTAACGTTTTGCTTAATTCCTTTTATTTATATAGTTCGAATTTGATATGTTGTCCTTCATAATCTACTGTAACAAAAATGGCAAGCCACAACTTTTTGCATATTCTCTTGCTCTTATGTTCCTTGATGATCATAAACATCGGCTGCACGGCCGAGGCTCCACCGGCGGTGAAAGCCGCATATTATCCTTCGTTTTCGCCCGATGCTTTCCCACCTTCAGCCATAAACACATCATTCTTCACCCACATTTTCTATGCTTTTCTTGTGCCAAATAATGTCACTTTCAAATTTGACTTGCCAAATTCTACGGCTTTGCTCCTCTCCAATTTCACCACCACTCTCCGCCACAAAACTCCGCCGGTGAAGACCCTTTTGTCCATCGGCGGCGCAGCAGACGGCGTGGTACTGCCATTCGTCTTTGCTCGCTTGGCCTCAAAAGCTTCGTCACGTTCACAATTCATACAATCTGCCATAGAGGTTGCACGTAAGTTTGGGTTTGATGGGCTGGACCTTGATTGGGAGTTCCCTCAAAGCCCAAAAGAAATGAAGGATTTGGGCCACCTGCTAAAAGAATGGCGCCACGCGCTCAAGGAGGAGTCCAAATCCACGGCCCGCCCTCCTCTCCTCCTCACAGCCGCCGTTTACTTCTCGGCCGACTTCTTCTTGGATGCCGTCCTCCGATCCTACCCGGCGTCGTCACTGAAAAAGTACTTGGACTGGATCAATCCAATGTGCTACGACTACAACGGGGCTTGGAGCAATACCACAGGGCCCAATGCAGCATTGTGGAACCCGAATAGTAACGTAAACTCAATATATGGGCTTAGGTCATGGATCAAGGCCGGGATACCCCTGGAGAAATTGGTTATGGGCCTGGCCCTCTATGGCCGGTCGTGGGAGCTCCAAAACCCGAAAAATCACAGCTTTGGAGCCACCGCTATTGGGCCAGGCCCAGGAGCAGGGATGCTGTTTTACCACCAAGTGGAGACGCTACTAAACCAATCTGGCGCAACTGTAGTGTATGACGTGGACACTGTATCCGTGTATTCGTACAACGGGTCCACGTGGGTTTCGTACGATGATGCCTTCACCACGGCCGCGAAGATAGGGTTTGCTCAGGCCCTTGGGCTTCGTGGATACTTCTTTTGGGCCCTCAGTTTTGATAGTGACTGGAAGATTTCGGCCCAAGGTAAACTGACCCACTTTTCCTTGATAAATTAAATCCTAATTTTGCATTAATCTTAATTTAGTTTCCAAATCAAATTCTTAACGATGAATGTTTTAAAATTGCAGCTTCAAAGTCATGGATTCTTGACGAATGATAAGATGAAGAGATCGAATTCCCTACGGCAAACTCGCAGCTGTTTCATGTTTAATATGTAAAGCATCGATTCATCGAGTGTTTAGATTATTGAAATGAACCTTAATTATATTATTTGCAGTATGAATCTAAGTAGATTGGAGATTTGTTATTTTACTTGATCAAGAGCCACATTCAACTTATATTTTGAAAAATGTTCATCTCAATCGATCCACGTAATCGCAACATGAACTAGGAGGGCAGTATGTGTGCCTCCTAACACTAAAGTTTAAATTCCCCTTCCCGTAAATTATAGTTTCGAATATCGCAAATTACATAATACAACCACAACGTTTTTACCAATCGGCCAGTGAAAAACATACCTCCCAAAAACAAATTGCAAACTCATTTTTGTATAATTAGACTCTTGCAAAATTTCCTCATCACAAAACTGTAGCATTTCTCATCTCTCCGAACCACCTCCCAAATGAAATTTGAAACGAAAACAAAACCCCTCAAGCACAAATGGTTTGGTAGTAGAACCGATTGGCGGAATTCTTGACAAGCCCTGCAAATGGACCAAACCGAACGAAGTCAATTATAATTGTAGAACTAAAACATTCTTCTTGGAAAATAAGGGATGCAATTTAAGTTAATTAAGATATTAACCCCCGATGGAAAGGAACGGAAAGAATTAGGAGGAGAGATTTCTTTTACCTTCTTAGAGTAATCGGTGTATTCTAACAAAAGGGAATGTAAGGATGCCGGAATTAGCTTTGCTTGTCTCTCACCCATTCAACAAAGTTATCAAAAATCACCGGCCATGCTTGATCAGAATCATAATTTTTCAGGTCTGGAAAACTTATCTGCCAAAAGTAAAGAAACAACAATCAGAACTCGTAGTTTTTCTTATGATACCAAATATATTACACGGAAAGAGTCTTTGTGATAATCTTTTACTCGACAGAGTGCTGTTGTTTAGCCTCCCAATATCACAGCAAGGATTTCAAGCCAAAGAAGAAGAAACTAAAATGTGTGAAGATACAACATAGGAACCGGAATTTCTGGACAAAATAAAAGCAAACACAAGTTTACCTCATTGCAAAAACGGTAAAAATGCATCCACTGATCCATATTTAGTGCCCTGTACTCAGTTTGGACCTGCCAAAAGTTAAATTCAAGGCATCAAAGAACAACGACGGAACCTTATTTTAGAAAGCAAACGCATGTTCAATTACTGGAATTGCTTCAAAGAAAATGGCACAGGAACAACCAACACGGCAGCATACCTTCAAATACTTGATCAATAAATCAACCTGGAGCTGGTATCGAGGACCCAGTACGAGATTCAGTAATTCACACACAGTCTCAATGTCCACACTCTTTTGCCTTTCCTCTGAAAATTAACCAATTTCAGACAGTCGAGCCAGAGATTTCCACAAAAAAAAAAAAAGTTTCTTATCAAAAGACCTGTCAAGACTAAAGCTCACCTGTCAAGCAGTATTGAAATGCAAAGGCATAGAAATCTTCAAATTTGGATGCTGTTGTCAACTTATCGAACAAAGAAAGCAAGATTAGTACCAGCGAATATTTCTGGCTTTCAAGCAGCATACAGTATTATGAGCCAAAATCACCTCAATAACGATTCCATGTGACTCCAAGAAATATAAAAAAAAAAATCAAGAAAGCATGATTACCTCTTTCTCCAATCCCGGTAGTGCTTTCTTTAATTTAGGGATAGTGTCGGCATGTAGATCTTTCAAGCCTCTTTGCCACTCATCCTAATCAGAAGAACAGGAAAGAGAAAAATGGAAAAGGGAAATGACAATTAGAATACAAGCAGTTATGAAGTAATGCTAGAAGACAACATTGAAGATTCCAGGGACCTTCAACAATTAGAGCAAACTCTGCACACGTTCAAAATTCTTAATTAAGTTTTTTAAGTTAGTCTCAGTCCACCAGGTCGCCTTCCTCACTTCTGTTTCCTAATTGTGGTATTACGTATCTCTTATTGCCTCGGATTGTATCTCCTAAGCTGTACATTGCGAATTGTTCTGACATAACATAAGTAACTCCTTTGCTTTCACTTGGGGTATACCAAAACTTAAATTTCAGTAAGAGGCTGTCATACTTTGGGTGGTTTCCTAATGAAAGCATCTTCTTTGTAAAACCATAAGAAAAATATGTTAGGAGTAAGGGATACTGATCAGTATACACATAATTAGTTAGTGCATTATCCAATATTGTAGAGCATATCGCAAAAATACAAACATGAATGCATTACAAGCAAACCATGCACGCCAATTGGGAAACTAGAAGATATGAACAACCTAGTTCGACTATACAGTTATGTCTTACCTTTGAAAAGTAGCCCTGCTTTGCAGCTCTCATTTTCCTGAGTCATGCATCAATCAAATTCAATGAGGTTAAAAGACAAATGAATTGAAGCATGTATACAGAAACACGGCAAACATAATTAACATACCGACTTACCAAGCAAGCATCAGTATTCTAACATCGGTATGGTCCACTTTCAAGTCCGAACAAAGAGCCTCGATTCCTGTTGGGCTATTCAATTAAACATAAAGAGTTTAGCAAGAAGGTAAACAACATTCAGACAAATGCATATTTATTATACTGGAATTTACCGAAACTTCATAAATCCACGCTTATCCAGGCACGGTATACTTACTCAATCATGTTTAACGACTGGTTTGCGTACGATTCAAAGAGGCTATCTATTTTGTCTACATCCTTTCTTGGTCTGCCTTTACCTGTTGCTGAATAACATTACAACATCAAATGCACATCAGAGACAAGTAAATTCAACCTTTTCTACATGGTGGGAGTAATATCCAAAAAAACAAAACAAATTGTTATATAATTATAATTTCCACCAACATTGCAAGGGTAATCTTCTGTAAATACTTAAACCAAACAGTAATTTGATCAACAACAACAAAGCCTTATCCCATTAAGTGGGGTCGGCTCTATGAATTTTAGAACGCCACTGCGCTCGTTTTTGCGCCAAGTTTTAGATTAGCTCCAAGTAATCCATGTCTCTATTACTTCTTAAAACATAAATTATGAGTTTTGTAAAATCAAATCAACGGCCTAGATTCTTTATAAAGTGTGATGAAATCTTACAACAGTCTACCAAATTCCAGAGGCCAAGCAGAAGCACTTCTTCAAAGGCAAGCAAAGGGTGATAAAGTAATTTCACAATTCAAAACTTCAAATTCACAATATGTCAGATGGTCTGAGAAATATCACAGTTCTTCTGCTCCTCAAAATTCAAACACACAGAAACACTGAAATTTAAAAAATTGCATAAAAAATTCAAAATTCAAAATAAATAAAATTACGACACAATCCAAGGCAAATGAAATCGAATACTTACTGGATGCCGAATTAAATAAATTCATGAACAAAATAAAATATAGCTTTTGCTACTTTCCTAGCTGCTTAAGTTAACTCAGCTGCCTACTGATATATTCATGATTTTTAATTTTTTTTCTACATAAAAAATACATGATTTTTTTTTTTCTCTGGGTTTTTTTTTCGGAAACCAATAAGAATCGGAGGAAAGCGAGATACCGGCGCGCTTCGAAACGACGTCGCAGGACGCGAGGGAAGGCGAAGTTGGTGGAGGTGCTTTTCTCTTAGAAGCGCGAGGCATTGTGCTTTTTTGAATTGGAACAATCAATCACAGCCGTCGATTCAATCGCCGGGAAGCACGATGATTCTAATTCGAAAAGACGGCGAGAGAGAGAGAGAGAGAGAGCGAGAGGGGGAGGGGGTGGGTAGTTTTATAGGCGTTTGGATTGGAAGACAGTAAAACGGAAGAAGAAGAGGAAGGTTGCGGCAGTCCTGTAGTGGGGCGGGTGACTAAGACCACGCGCGGATTAGAGCGTGGCCTGGGTCTATGCGATTTGGGTTATTTTTAGAATTTTGTCACTGATTGTATGGATTTCCGTGCGTGGGTTGGCTGGTTTCAGAAGAGTGACTTGTAGAGGCCCGTTACGGCACGGATGATAACAAGTTCGCTCGACTTTGGAATTTACTCAATGAGAAATGTTAATGAATTCCTCTCAGATTTTTTGTCATTCTACGTAAATTTTCGTATCAAGATTATTGTATAAAAAAATAAGTGACAGAACGTTCATCAAAAATCATATTTTTAAGTATCTCTTTATCATATTTCTCTTTACTCTACGCACCCTACTACCTTTGCTCTTTTCTCAAATTATGTTTATTACTAATCATATTCATCAATTTTTCTTTCTATATACTTCATAATATATACTATTGAGCTATACAAAAAATCAGCAGCTATATTTTGTACATAAATAATTAATAAATTTTTCACAAACCCGTATTAATGAGTGAGACGCCACATTGTAGGCAAAAACACAAATAGGACCCATGCAACTTAAACAGGCTTACTTAACATGAACAAGAAAAGTTAGAAATCGAAGAACTTAAAAGATTAAAAAATTCGAAAAACTTAGGAATATAAAAAGTAAAGAAAGAAAAATTGAATAAACTAAATTCCCCTAATTTACTTGACTGTATATTAAAACAAAATTTTAAAGTACAACACATATTTTTCGATTTCAAATGTGTGTAGTATAGAACAATATATTTAGAGACTTGAATATCACTAACCAAACTTATTTCATATCATGTGAATTAGTAGACAATTTACTAACAGTATCAATTCTAAGTAATTTGGTGAAAAATTGAAAATCAAAATTCAGACTCTCCCCAATCAAAAACCTGACTCATCCTGAATTAGTTGGGAAAAAAAAAAAAAGGAAAAGCCAATCCTCAATTTAACTTTTCAGATTTTTCTTAAACTAATTGGACCGTGTCGCCATTTAATATTACGGTTTAGTGGTATTCCTCTTCACTTGTAAGTGCGAGATCATAACAGTTTTAAACCATATTATTACTAGTCTATTGTAAGGCTAAGCCCACCCTCCCACTTAATATAGAAAATATTGATCGTTAAAAAGAAAAAAAAAATTAAATTGGACCGTGTAAGCCAGTTCAATAAATGGGCCTACGAAATTCCCACGCTCAGATACGGTCCAATAGGCCATAAAACCCATAATCTAAATCAGGCCCAATTGTTCAACGGAGCCCAACGTTATAAACTATATATTACAAGACTCGGCAATTAGGGTTTCCTATTGCTAGGGTTTTGTCTGCAAGTCGCTCCTCCGTTCACCGAGCTACCGCAGCGAAGATGGTAAGCCAGCTCTAGCTCTCTCTGCCTAACTGCACCTTCTACTCGTTGACTTCTGTCTTCTTCTTCTGATATTTGATATCGGCGGTTGGATTTGCAGCCGTCACACAAGTCTTTCATGATCAAGAAGAAGCTGGCGAAGAAGATGAGACAGAACCGACCCATTCCTCACTGGATCCGCATGAGGACCGACAACACCATCAGGTTATAATTAAAGAGACCCCATTTGATTTTGTTTTACTATTTTTTACATTTAGATTTTGTTCTTGGAAATCGCTTCCGCCGGCTCTAATACGGCGTCATGTGCTTCAGGTACAACGCTAAGCGCAGGCACTGGCGCCGGACCAAGCTTGGGTTCTGAGGTGGACCACCCGCTACTCTATACCTGCCATTTGGTTGTCAAGATTTAAATTCTGAGAAACAGATGGAAACTTTTTATGTTTAATCAAACTGGGAACTTCCATAGAGCCCCGTTGCGGAGATTGCTTTATGAAATTGGTATTTGATTTGTAGTTTAATTGTATTTCGAGTATTGGGTTGGACCAATTTTTGAATTTAGCTGAGTTAAATCTGAATCATGACTACCCAATGCTTTTATTCTGTTTTCGTTATGTTTTGTTAATGTCATGCTTGGGTCTTTCTTAATTTGATTCGATTGCGGATTGTCTGTATGATCTGATTAGTGATATACTTGTTTGGATGACTGATTTGGTATGTTGCATTTGTCTGTTGATGAGGTGATTTGGTATGTTGCATTTGGAACATAGCAGCAATGATTCCACCTAGCCTCAGTAATCCATAAGGTGTTGGTAAGATTTTCTGGTCAAAATAGTTCAATGTTTTTGTTGTTGCTTGGATACATTGCGTTTATAGTTACGTTGATGTGGAACCATGTAATTGGGAATGTAAATAGATTTTCTTCTGTCTTGGTACCTCATTGTTCACTCTACGCAATGCAATTTAACTTGAAGTTTGAGGAAGTATCTTGTCGGTTTACTGAACAAGTTCCAAGTTAAAATAGTAATGCCCCTGGTGGGATTCTAAAGAGAGTTCTTTTACGGTGGATATATGACTGATGGAGTGCAGTGAATTTTCTAGTTTCTGTGTCGATGTCAAATTGCTTTCCACGTTGAAATTTGGCGTTATTTTCTAGTTTATGTTTGCATGTAGTATGAACTAGGACAGAAAGTTTGTGTTTCTGTTGGCGTTGTGTTTCCTTTGGGAGACTAGCAGTTTCCCTGGCGTTTTATTTGGCTTTCGCATAAGCTGTTTTGCCCAACTTATATATATATGTATGTATGTATAAAATGCATGCTTCGGTTCATTTTACAAACTTAGAGCTCATTTGGAACTGTTTTTATAATGACTAAAAATGTTTTTGAAAACAATCTTTATTAAAATTTCAAGTGAATTTTAGAAAAGCATTTGAAGTGTTTTTTCTAAGAAATACATAATTGATGTTTCTTGCAGTAAGCCTTTTAAGTGCTTTTGGAACATATAACCGCTTTCTCTAAAAGCATTTTTAGTCATTTTAAAAACATTTCCAAACGGTCACTTAGTATTACGAGTTTAGTGATATTTTTTTTTATTTGTAAGTGGGAGGTCTTAAGTTCGATTATCGTCAAAGATGAATTTAAACCATATTATTGCTAGTTCCTTGTGAAGTTTAGTTTTTTTTTTTTTTTATCTTTAATGTAGATAATATTGTTTGTTAAAAAAATAAAAAATAAATAAACTTCCAAACGAGTCCTTGTAATTTTAGTTTCAATGCCCTTCTCCATTTCTCAAACGAAGAGGAAAATGAATATTTTTCATTATGGGAGAAAACTTGTGAGTTAGTCCAGTCCTTCGACTGGTGTAATTTTGAAGATTACTTTTTTAAACAAATGATATTATTTATATAAAGAGGTATGGGAGTGGGCCTCAATAGCAAAAACTACCAGATTTTGATCTTACTCCTCCTGGAAGAGGATCCTCTTCTGAGCTCAGATGAAGATCCTCCTGACAGATCCAACTAGATCGTTTAAATTTAATTCAACGATTACAATTATTATAATTTTAAAAAAATCCTCTTAATTGAAGCCATTTAATTAAATTTGAACAATTCAAATGAACCAATCACTTCCTGAGTTCAGGAGGAGAGAATCCTCTTCCACTCATCTTCAAAACAGCCGCCTTACTTAATGTCAGAACACGTGAGACATTCTAATCGCGCAACCCTAACAGATATCATCTCTCGTTTAAAAAGGTTTGGGCCTCTTAAAGGCATAATGATAGACGTGATGCCGTGATTGGGCAGCGTGTCAGATTTGGTGTAATTTCATTCCCGCCAGTTTCATTTCCCGCCAATAGTCGCGTCAATTAGCAAATGACATACCCCACCTACCCGCTGTGAACGGCCTCTTCTCTCTCCATCCCTCTCCAGTTTCCTCTCTCCCTCTCTCTGCCTCCAATCGTTGCAATACTCTCCAATGGCGTTTGAGAAGCTCACAGACTACGAGCGCAAGAGGCTCGAGAACATCCGCCTGAACGACGAAAAGATGGCCTCCCTCAAACTCCAATCCATCAAAGCCCAAGTCTCCGCCTCAACCAAACGCCCAAGGTTCTCTCTCTCTCTCTCTCTCTCTCTCTCTCTCTTTAAATTCACTATTTTCTTGAAACCCCGATTCTAATTTCTGGTTTTAATTCTAGGGTTGAGATCAAATCGTACAAAGTCAGTCCGAAGAAACAACCCAAAACCCAGACCCCAATTGTCATGAGGCGGTCTTTACGCACGCGCGGATTACCGCCAGATGCGAACGGCCTAAGCGATGAGGCTCTCGAATCCATGGCCAAAACTATGAATTCTTCAAGCCCGTCGAAGGGATTGCCTTGCTATATTGGTCCTCTTAGCATGAAAGACGCTTACAGAGGAGTGTCAGATCGAGCTCTAATCGAAGCAATTCTGGATATTTCGAAGAAGCCCCAATTGGACGCTTCAGTGAAAGGTGAAGTTAAAGGCGAAAATGGCAGATTTGAAGGTGGAAAAGTTGAAAGTTCGTGCTTTTCAATTAGGAAGGAAGTAAATGAAGTTAAAATTGGTGTGAAGATGGAGCGTTTGAGTAAGGGGATTGGTGGGTTTACTCGTGGTTTTGTTAAGAAGCAAGGAAATGAAATGTGGAGTAGTTTAAAGTTGGAGTCTTTGACTCTAAAACCAGAGAATGTCGCGAGGGTTGTGCCCGGAGGATTATGAATGTGAAGTTTTTTCCCTGTACTAGTTCGAATATGATTGCGGTTGGGAATAAGTTTGGGAATATTGGATTTTGGCATATTGATTCTAAGGAAGATGAAGAAAGCGGTATCTATTTGTATCGTCCGCATAATTGTCCCATTTCTGGGATTTTGATTCAGCAACACAGTATGTCAAAGGTAATTTTTATCTGAATGATTCTTATATGATAACTTGATTTGAGTGTTGAGACTTGAGAGAGAGATGTTCATGTTTCCGATTCGAAAGTGAAGATTTAAGTTCTGTTAAATTCTCAGTTATGTTTGCTCACACACTAATATACTTTGTTCTGCTGAACTTCTGAGTAGTAACATAAGAAAATGAGTTTGGTGACAATAAGGCGGAAACTCATCTTTCCGAACATTGGCACTGTTTTGCAGCATGCTTTTATTTGAGCAATCACTTGAATGAATTCGAGTAACTCTTGTGGTATATGCTAACATATGATTGTTGAGTTATGTGCAGATCTTTACTAGTTGTTATGATGGCTATATCCGGTTGATGGATGCCGAGAAAGAGGTGTTTGATCTAGTATATTCCAGTGAGGACACTATATACTCTATGTCCCAACAGTCGAAAGATCCCAACTGCTTATATTTTGCTGAGGGCCACGGTGGTTTAAGCGTCTGGGATCAGAGAACGGGAAACTTGTCAAACCAGTGGTCTTTGCACGAAGACAGAATCAATAGCGTTGACTTTAGCTCAGCAAACCCTAACCTCATGGCCACTAGTTCCACAGATGGAACTGCCTGCATTTGGGATCTGAGAAGAATCGTTGCAGATAAAACTTTACAAACAATTAGCCACAATAGGGCTGTGCATTCTGCTTACTTCTCGCCTTCTGGAAGCTTTCTCGCAACGACAAGGTAGCCATCTTACGCCTTTCTAACTTAAAGTCGTCTCTTTTTCTTCCACGCTGCAATGCTATGTTATAACTGTAATGTTCTTAAGTGGTGATTCATGAAATGGATTTGCATTGATCTCACTCGCTGTGGCCAGACTAATCTTCTCCTTGTCTTCGTGTAGTATTGACGACACAGTTGGTATATCAAGCGGGGTTAATTTTGAGAACACATCAATGATATACCATAATAATAAAACCAGCAGATGGATTTCTAAGTTCAGGTATGATTTTTACCAGATTTTGAAATTTTCAAATGTTTCCAACTTTCCTTTCGCTAGAACGCGGTCGCTTTTGCTTTCGCTTTCTGGCAGCTGACTTTAAAACTGGAAACAGGGCAATATGGGGGTGGGACGACGCCTACGTCTTCATTGGCAACGTGAAAAGAGGAGTAGATGTGATCTCCCCAGTTGAAAGAAGAACAGTGCTCACTTTAGAGAGCCCGCACATGACTGCGATTCCATGTCGATTTGATGCTCACCCTTACAATGTTGGGATGCTAGCAGGATCCACTGCTGGAGGCCAAGTTTATGTATGGACATTGGGATAGGAAATTCAGCTTCTCTACTTGCATGTAGTTAGTGAAAACATGACAAGTTTTGTACCTTGAACTTTAATTTAGTGAAATTGTTGTTGCGTGGCACGAGCTACTTTAGTTTAGTACCGACCCTAATTTACAAGGATTTTGAGCTTCTCTGGCCAACTGGCCTAACCCATGTATATTGTTGTTTCACGAGCATGTCATAAACATATTGAATGAGAACCTTGGTTCGAAGAACTTAAAAAATGAATGAGAAATTAAGCATTAATTATAATTCATTTTCTTCCATGAGGTTGATTCATGTGGGAATAATTCTTCATTACATGAAAGCACAGCCTGTGCCATCAACTTCCCAAGCCAACCATGGTACAACAATCCCCTTGAACCAAGCCCTCCAAATAACCAGTGGTTGGAGCTTCGGTTTTCATCAACTATGTCATGGACACAACCCAAAAGGCAAAGTGAGCCATGAGGAGTAAGTGGCGGCATTGCCCTCAGGCCAGCCCTGGTTGGCAGAAGCTCTTTAAGGGCTTCCCTGGCTTCATCTGCAAAAACATTTGGTGATGAATTTCTTGATTTCCATTCCGATGTCGAGCCCATATACAAACACCGAGGACGCTGGACAGCGAGCCAAGCATCTGACAATATCAAGGGGCCAAGGCTTGGATACGCCTCTCTTAAACAAAGAAATTTATAAGATGATTTTCGTTTCGTACATATATCACAAAATTTTGGGCCATTTAGATACTAATACAAGGCAGAGAAGAAAGTTTACCCTATGTCATCAGGAAGCTGAAGATGTGCAACAACACCTCTGCATAACCTCAACGGAAGCCTCCCACAGAGCTCAGGAAGCATGTCTGCTTTCGCACCTAGACATACTATTACTGCCTGGTATTCCCCTAACGTCAAATGTAATCAGATGCAAATATAAGAAAAGATGCACTGAAATTGCTGAACCCCTAAACTATAAGAAATTCGGAACACAAACAGAATCATCACATACAAACAACTTATACGAGAGTCGAACATGTCCACAATACGAACCTAATTAAAGCTTGAATCAATTGCACGGGTCATTACCTTCTAGGTCTAAGAGTTTGTGAACTGAACCCTTGTGCAAGTGCAATTCTCTGACTCCAGAGCCAGAAGCACAAAGTTCCTTCACCAATTTTGACATGCTAAAAACAGTGCCTGGACAAATAACCATGAGAACAAGAAATCAATAAAAACAAAAAGCAAAAGCATCTGTACTAAAGAGAGAGATAGGAGGGAAAGAGGTGTCAGCGCTTAATCATCCGGACCTGTAAATAGCGTTGAGGATGAATATTAACAGCTTCAGGCATACAAAAGGAGGCGTCAAGAGGTGGAGATATACAGGGTATGAGACTTTGGGAAGCATCCTTGTCAAGGGTTTCTATTCAGCAACTAGCAAGGCAACTCTGGGCATTCTAACGACATAAATTGAGAAACACTAACATTAGAATGAGGTCGGAAACTAATTATCTGAAGCTGTTGTGCTAGTAGAACAATGGGGGGAATTACGTCTTTCAACAATGTCAAGTTCTTCATGCTCAGGGCCGGTCTAAAGATGCCCCTGCAGACAGAAATTCAAACTCATGCCTATTAGCTATACTAAAGCAAGGATAAATATTAAAACAAACATTGATTTAGTACAAGAACCCGAAGTTCTCTACAAAAACACACGAGCCAAATTGGAGTCAACTAGCCCGTTGTCATGTTCTAATCGATTCTTAGACTAGTAATTCCTTATGTGCCGTTCTCTTGAGCAAGGTATTTTTCAATAGTATTGAGCTTGAATTGTCTTTCTGGTGCGAAAAACCCGAAAAGAAAACACTTTAAGATGTTACACACACTCATTTGGGCACAACAAAGGATTTCAACTTTAAGATAAAGAGTGAAAGAAGACCCTTTTTAAGACTGTTTTCTTTTTTCACAAAACGGCCTTCTAAACTATTCTAATCTACGAAGCGGAATTCACACCGGATGAGCACACTCTGACCAACTTACCTGATCCACTTCATCAAACCCTTTAAGATAACTAAAATGCGCATAAATGCAACAATGCATGAATGATGAAGTGGAACACAAAGATTTCAAATTTAAATCGAATTGAAAACTGAAAGAAAGGAATTTGAAAAAAGAAAAGCGAACCTTCTTCTAACAATTGGCATTGGGCGGTCAGAATTTGGAGCAGCGGAAGACACGGCGGCGCTCAAAGGTTCAAGGACTCAGTCCAGCAGTCGGCAGCACGCCATAGAAGCTTGGCTTTAGGGGAATAAGGGTGAAGAAGTCCACCGGAAACCCCGGACGCGCCGCCGCCAATTCCAACTTCATCGTATATGTCGACGCGGATGTTGGAGTCTTTCGAGCTCTGCTTTAACATGTGCCATGCGACGTAGAGGCCGGAAAATCCAGCTCCGAGCACCACGTACCGTATACAACTAGGACTTAGACTCGGAGGAGGACGGTGGCGCTGAGTCAGAGAACTCGGGGACCCAACTGAACAAGAAGAAGAAGAGGCCATCCTCACTGCGCCGCCGCCTATCCCCTTTTCTCTTCTTTTGTTTTTCCTTCTTCAAAACGAGTCCATTTAAGTTTTCGCAAAATTTCACTTTCGTCCATCGTCCTGGTGTTTGTAGGTTAAGACTTTTATTTTGGGATGCCACAGTAACATCCCAAACCCGAACTGAAAACAAATCGTCACGTCACATGATCACGCGTGATTAAATCGGAATATCACCATCTTGGCATCTCCGTTTCATGCAAGTCATTGTAGTTTTGTTAGTATTTTATATCCAAAGACAAAGTGGGACCCTAGAGTTCTCTCACTCCCGATCCTTTGTGCATTGACATATGTAAAAAAAAATTTACTAAATACATGAAAAGTCTATTTCTGCATTAAATATCATTAAAAATTAATATTAAAAAAAGAAAGATATACAAATATTATTCAAATATTCTCGCGTTTTTAGATGCAAATGCACTTATTAAGTTTACATAATCTAATTTTTCAACCAATTCAAACCAAAAGAGAAGTCCTTACCCAGTACGCCAAATTCCAATCATTTTTCTATTGTTACAATGTTGTTACATTCAATAAATGAATGAATGGTTGGATTACAGAGACAACATCTTACAGCTAGGGAAAATACTAGAGTGAAGAGGATAATAATTTTCATATACGCGCCTAGGCGGACGAGGGGGATTTGAATAATATATTATATTTTATATAACTAATTAATTTGAACATTGAATAATATCATTTTTCAAAAAGATGAGAGTTTTAGCCTTTTAGGTAGATAATAAAGATATATGTGGTGTGATCTTAAAATAGGGTAACAACATCTCATAAAATAAACATAAAGGTGATATTTAAGAGAAGCAAAAAAAGTACAAAAAAGATGGTAAGGACTATTTAAAAGGAAGAAGACGTGTAGCTATAAAAGAAGATGGTGGGACTATCTTAAGTAAAATCATACAATTAAAACGATGTTGGGAATAGGGTTGTTTTCTTCCTTGCACGAGGCCGACCCTGCAACAAAAGATTTCCAGATTCCTGCGTATATAACCCCGCATAGCTCCCGTCCATCTCCGTCCAAACCTACCTAGCCGCCTAAAAATTGAGGGCCCTTCCAAAGTGGGGGCCCTAGGCAGGCGCGTACTCCGGCTACCCTCAGGGCCGGCTCTGAATACACCTATCAATTTTCATTAACTTTTTGTACGAAACTGTCACATGCAAGACGCATAGAAGAGTAAACTTGGAGAAACATGGTTTCACAATTATATTTACAGGGTAGACAAAGAGCTCTTTCCATAACACATCGAAAAAATTGGACGAAACACAAACTAGTGCAGAGCTGAGGCACATTTGCCACTAAGACTACGGAAGCCATAGATAACTGTCCTGTAAATGTGTGCAGGTCACTACTGTTTAAGTAAGATGTAAGGAAAATTATTATTACAAATAATTTATGCTTTGCGTAAAATAACGCGTCTTTCTCGCTTGTATTCGACTTCATCCCTCTGGTGCATAATAATAAGAGCTCTTCTCACCTGCAAATAAGTAGTAGTGATATCAATGAAAGCACCAACAGACTCAAGATTGTTCAATTATTGAAAAGATGTTGGCGGAAGCTGAAATAGTCCTTTTTCCGATGTTCATTTGTCCCTGAATCACACTAATGCGTGTGATATTATCAATATTCGAAAGACAATTCAAACCAAAAAGCATCAAATCCCAACCATCGTACTTTTCCAGATTTGTTGCTTACGTACGGAGGCAACTGTAATGGATATTTAATCAAATTCGTACTTACAATGGATTCATTCATCCCCATTCTTGTGAGCTCATCGATCAGCTTTCTCTCTGATATGTGGTTCCCAATGCCTACTCTTCTCCTTATCTGAGTTTCAGCTTGCTGTTCAAGGGTCAAAAAATATGCACACGTTGGAAAAGAAAAGGGTACGAGAAAGATGAGAAAGAGAACGAAAATGATATCTTATCTAGAACTCAGTTGCTTCTTTTATTTTCTTGTAGGAAAGACGATAATGAAATAGTTTCTACTAACCTTAACTTCATTCGCCATCTCGCCAGTGAGATTGACTTGTTGCTGTATTCCAGACTTTGCCGCGTCCATTGTGGCTGCATTGAATAGTCTTATTGCTTCACGAACATGCTCCTCAGTAGCTTCGTGGCGCCTGAATTTGACATTGTGGTTTTCGTTATCAAAGTTCTAGTCCCCATTCCTAATAAAAAAACATTACAACTGGAAGTCCTAACTCCTAAGCGTCAGTCAGTGTCACTAATACAGTAATACTTACAGTTGCATTTTCGCAAGGGCCTCACTCAACCTCACTATAGCTTCAAGCTGCCTTACAGTGATTGGGACTGCAGCAGCCTCTCCAGTTTCATTTGCTAGCTGTCTCATGTCCTATAAGAAAATTCGTGAAGATGACGTCAATTGGAACCTTCTGAACAATACACCAATATGTAGACCCCGTTAATGGAGAAGTCCAATGGAACTCCCAAAAAAACCTTTTAGCATGACCTACTTCTTTGAGCACCATATGAGAATTTTTGGGTTGGCATCTGTTCAATCCTCAATACAATAAGTTAACAGCAAGAATACCTGTCTGATTTTCACATAATTACTCTGCAGCTCTCTCGACGCAGTTTCTGATAAACGGGGGTGGCATTCAGTTCGACAATATTGTATGTACCTGCAAATGTTGAAAAAAAAAAAATTCAACATCTTATTGATATTTCAATGGCAGCATTGGATAATGTATGTACGAACTTGTGCTTCAAATTGGTATACCTCTTCAGCCAATTCTCTTCTTTAGAAACTACTCTACCATCACCCAGTGCTGCACCAGCAGACGCATGAACCTTTATGATATGACTTGCTATAATCTGTCATTGAAAAGCTGAGTCAAGCTACTGATGGAAAAGGAAGTACAATCAAAGTGGACCAGCAGTGACACTCAAAGATATAGTACATGTTTGGTGTTGAAATGCCCACCAAAATTAAAAAAAGAATTGTACTCCCAAAGTACTTAAGCAAAACACTTCGAACTGGCAATATTAAAAATACCTTATCCTGACTGTACATCCTGATATCTTTAACAATGAATATCAAGTCAAATCTCGAAAGAATTGTCGTCTGCAGATCAATATTATCCTGAGCAGTCTGAAAGAAAGCAAGAGTGTCAGTTAGTATTCAAAGAAATTACAAGTTGCATGTGAAACTCTTAAAATGGATCAACTAGGGTGAAGTGTACCTTAAGATCGTCATAACGTCCAGATGGAGGGTTAGCAGCTGCAAGCACAGAGGTTCTAGAATTAAGAACGGTTGTTATTCCTGCTTTGGCAATGGATATGGTTTGCTGCTCCATGGCTTCATGAATAGCAACCCTAAGCCACAACAATGTAGTCTATTAGAACTCCATGAAAATACTATGTTAAGCAGATCAAGATCTCTATCCAGCTTGCATTACCTATCCTCTGATCTCATTTTGTCAAACTCGTCAATACAGACAACACCTCCATCCGCTAAAACCATGGCTCCTCCTTCAAGATAAAACTCACGCTGGCTTGCACCGAGAAATTGAAATTAGAGACATTTTCATACCAAAGGAAAGGACAACTACCTCACTAATATTTTGTGAAAGGCATTGCAAACCTAGAGACAACAAGTATCCGTAAATTAAAATCAAATGAAGATAAAGAACTTACAGAACTGCTATCCCTGATCACAGAAGCTGTAAGACCAGCAGCTGATGACCCTTTTCCTGAAGTATATACGGCCACTGGAGCTGTCTTCTCGACAAACTTAAGAAACTTTACAGAAGAGTTGAAATCAAATCAGCATGTGCTATTTGTAGAATGGAAGAAGAGCATAAACTGTCTTATTCTCACATGGCTAAGAAAATAGGTCTTAAACTAACAGAGATATTTTCTGCGATAAATTGTATACTGCCACTTATTTTGCGAGCCCATAAAATAAATATAAGAGAACCAACCTGTGATTTAGCGGTAGATGGATCCCCCAAAAGTAAGACATTAATATCACCTCTTAGCTTCACACCATCAGGCAAATGCTGCTCACATGAAGATGGGTTGTTAGTTGTTACGATCAATAAACCACACATTTACTAAAAGACAAATTCAGGATATACCTTTCTAGATCCCCCGAACAGAAGACACGCCACAGCCTTCTTTACATCTTCATGACCGAATATAGAGGGAGCAATTTTCGAGCATATATTTTTATAAGCATCTTCTGAAGCAAACTTCTTGAATTCTTCTATCTGCAAACATATGAAAAATGGTTGAAAAATCATATTACTGGTTCCATAACAAAGCCTACTTCAATTAAAATATGACAAAAACATTCACCATCTAGTGCTTGAATATATACTGCACAATTTCATGAACACCTATATTTTAACTAACTAGCAGTGTGGAGAAGACGTTAAAGATATTCCCAAATATTGAGTTCAACCAATACCTCGTCTTGTGTAAAAGCAGCGGGACCACGAGAGTTGGCATCAGTTGCTTCTTCTATTCCTACCACTCTGATGTAAGGCTGCCTAACAGCAACTGCTCCTTTGTGACTACATAGAACCGAATAGAGTAAACATTGAAGTTAAGCAGTGAAGTGCAGAATACAAAGATATTAAAATATTCATCTAAAAGTTATAACAATCCTCACGATGTGGCAGAATTGGAAGCTTGATAGATGCTATAAATGCCCATGATGGTTAATCTTGTGCCAGGTACAATTGTCTGAACAAGATGACGGTCCACAGATAGAAGCATATTTCTTGGAAGCTCTCCGGTAGGTACATCCTTCATAAACCAAGGGGGGGAAACCACTAATTAATGAACATTCCATAATTCAATTTGAACTTCGTTTCCTTAATAAATTAAGATCATCACCTCTGGATTCTCTTGCAATTTCAAGGTTTGCTGATCAACATACTTGCTCTTATCAGGAACCACAACCCACGGATCAAGCGGACAAGGTTCTTCTCCAGGCTAAACATTTCCAATCCCTTGTATTAGATGTCAAACTAGAAAAGAAAGCCAATGCAAGACAAACGCCGAAAGAAGGGAAGATAAGAACAGAAATCTAACAAACCTGAGGAATATGGTTGCACGTAGCGAGGGACGACTGCCCCACCAAGACCTGGCCGGCAAGGTACCCTCTGCACATTTTTACAGTTCTTACACATGACAATCACATAAGTCGCCTTCGCCTTGACCCTCGAAGCAGCTATAGTGATCCCGGAAACCTTGATGAGTTTTGATATACATTGTGCCTACAATAATTTAAAAGCAAAATTATATATCATAACCAAACCATAAACTCCTTAAAAACCACCCCCGATTCTCATTGCTCAAATAAACAACTTTTTAAGTTCGATTAGAAATAAAAGTTTTATCATTTTTTCCCAAACTTTCTCATCAACCAAAAAGATACAAAGACCAAGCAAAAAAAACATAGAAACAACCAACCCCGAGCTGGCGCATGGACGCCGGGTCCTCTTTGGAGGTCAGCAAGATCTGAACATCCTCCGGCACCCGTTCCTCCAATTTCCCTTCGTTTCCGGGAACTTTCGTCTTCAAATTCGCCAAAACCTGACCGGCGGCGTTCTCAAACTACAAAATCCCCAAAATGAAAACAAATCAAAATTAATTAACAGACAAAAAAAATGATTAAATGAAATCGATAGGGGATAATTAACCAAGAGGTCAAGTTTTAACCAGAGGCAAATAATCGGAGGGGGCAGAGCGGAGCTTTGCGACGAGGTCGGCGTCGAAAGAATCGAGGTCTTCAATGTCGACGAGAAGGTACTTAGGGTTGTGGAGGAGGCTCTCCCTGTAGGAAAACACATTTTTCTGGGTCTCAAAGCTTCGGATGAATTCCTTGAATTTCTGGAGGACCGAGTGGCGGGTGGCAGCTGCGGCGTTGCTTCCTGGGTCTCCGCCGTCGCCGCCGAGCGACTGCGCTTGGTCGCTGTAATAGATCGCTCCTTCGTCCCACCCTGACATGACTCTACTCTCTCTCTCTAGAATTACAATGTTACGTCCCTCTCACTTTCTCTCTCTAAAATGCTCCCTCGGTGGTCTAAAAAGGTCAAATGACTATAGGGCAACCGCGCGAAGGAGGAGTACGTCTTTTGGCGGGGAGAATTTGGCGGGAAAGAGGGCGAGGGTTTATCTGCCAGCGGAACGTGACTCAATGGTAATAATGGACCTGTAAATTGGGCCGGACAGGACCGGCTCACCCCGAGGGCCAGAGGCCCAAGCTCTACTTGGCCCTTTTTTTTTAATTTATTATTATTAAAGGTAGAGCGAGGATTTGAATTGGGAGTATTACAATAACATAGGGAAGGATGAAGTTTCAAGCTCAAGACACATGGATGAGAACCAACACCTTATCAACTAAAATATTAGACCATATGTCGTAATCCTAAATTGATACCAATCGTAAAGAGCTCGTGAGTAAAACTTCGCCTATATAAAATGGCATGTAAACAGAAGAGAAATGCTATTATGTTACTAGTTCCATGTGAGAGTGTTAAGTACAAGGACACTAAGTCGATAATATCGTCTCGCTGTATATAAGGAAATATGACAATATTCTGTATATATATGTATGAAAATGCTCAATTGCCAAACAGTTTGGCACGTTATATTGTCAGACTGTCAATCTGAACCATTAATTACGTAAATTAATGGTAATTAAGGGTTCAGATTGACAATCTGACAATATAACAAGCCACATTGGCTGGCAAGAGAACATTTTAATACATATACATACATTTTATACGCAAACAAACATTACAATCTGTCAACATATATTTTGCGTTCAACCCACAAATCATAAAAAAACTAAAAACAAAAATAAAAAAGATTGTTCATCAGGCAAAGTTCCTCCGATCTCAAGGGCTAAAAGATGATGTGGTTAGCCACTCCTACATAAATCCTCTGTTTTTCAAGTACCAAAGTGCCCCTTCTGCCGCACTCTCTGCAGCTGCTTTCTTTTTCATATTAGGTTCTCCGAAGCACTCTAACAGCGTATCTGGATCTTCTTCTATCTTTACTACAGCCTTGTAGGTGAACCTGCAAAGGATTTGAATAACAAATCAATACAAAAAGTCTTACTACAAACCGCAACTTAGAAAAATTAAAACAAAATGTAACATATGACAGACGAGATGAAGGTGAACCTCGTACATTTTTATTTCAGTCTTCAATTAAGATTTTGATTCCTCATAAAATATTCTTCTAAGTTTTAACACACCATAGTTTTATCACTATGTTGATAATATATACTTACGATTTTAAGTGGCTTGGTCCTTCTTCATTGCAGCACTCAAATAAGGGAGTTTCCCAGTAGTTAGCGGCACAAACTTCATACAAACGAGATCTTGATGTTGCCGTGTGTGTACCTGGAAGATTTTCTGAGTAAGCAAATTTGAAAAGTATCCCATACTTGATACCCTGTAAGTACAAGAAACATTAACAGTACCTCCGGATTGCGAGTTAGCATCATTCTTAGAATTTTCCCTGGTCTTATTGGGTCGCATTTTGACTGCTCCAGATGAAGATGGGGATTGTCGTACAGGTTTTCTGCAGGAAAAGTGACCGTTTCTCTCTTGATTGATAGGATGCCCTTGGGAGTTAAAATTTCGGCGGGAAGCTTCTTGTACATTTAGGTTATCAAATCCACTTGCATCAAGAAGCACAACATCTATTGGTGTTTCATCATATCCAATAAGTTTGGCTTCCATCTCACTGCTTGACTTTAAGACTTCCTCCAATGAGTTAGTCATAGGTATGTTGCCTTGAGCCTGCAATTCCGAGAATGATCCCCAAAATTAGAACTTTAATTACTGAAGGAGCTAGTTTTATACAGTTGAACACTTGAAGGAGCTAGTTTCTTAGAGTTGAACCCTAACATATTAAACATAAAGCATACAGTTTTACCTTCAACTTGTCAAAAATCAGTTGTGCACAAATTCTTATTCCATCCTTTTTGTTCAAGCTGGTCGTAGAAGCAGATACACAAACATTATTCCCATTCACTGTTGCACAAACTGAATACTTTTTACCCATTTTTGTTGGTACAAACTCAAGACCCCATGAATGAGCTTGGCAAAGTTCACGTAGTTCCCTAATAGGACTAAGTTGCAAGCTGGAAAAGCTCATAATTGGTTTCAGAAAGGATAGCATTATCTCCCAAACACGATTCAAGTTGAACCCTGTATCAAGAAGAATTGCGCCCAGACAGGACTCTACCAAGTCGCCCAGAGCCTGAAGCAATAAACTTAATCGTTAAAGATTCGGATGAAGTTAACACCTTATTAATACTCCAAAGGAACATAGAAATCTAAAGGCATACCTTTGGACATTTGGGCCCATCAAGCAGACCTCTATCTGATGCAGCTGTTTCAATGAAGCCCACATAACTTTCTATCGCCTCTGAAAGGCTAGAGGAATCACTGATTAGAAACTTGTGGAAGGACCGATCTACTGCAACATTAGCAAAGGCTTTATTATTCACAGACACTGATCTCAAATCCGTTAATTGACCAGGCTTCAACTTTGGATAAACTGAATACAGGTATGAGGTGATCAAGTAATCCAAGACGGCATCCCCAAGAAACTCCAATCTCTGATAAAAACATCAAGGCAAAGAAAACTGAAGCAAGCATAATACAAATTGTTCGAGTGCAAGCTAGTTTACCAAAGTTATTAGGCAGATGGGAAAATTTTTGGAAGTAATAATGACAGTAGAGGGCTTACCTGATAGCAGCCTCCTCCATGCTTGTTGTAAGAAGGATGTACAAATGCCTGTAAGAGCAGACCTCTGTGGAGAAACTTATACCCTAATAAATTTTCAAGGGCAGCAATGTTCATGCAAGCAGAAAGTGGGATGTATCTAGAGCTTGCTATGCATGCTTCAGTAACTTGTGATGGTTCGAAGTCTACTTGTATGCCAATCCACTTAAGAAATGCAGTTGCAGCTATAAAGCCACTGTCAACTACGAATGCTCCAACAAGGGCTTCAACAACATCAGCAATGGTTTTCTTATATAACCAATGGTGACCCTTGCTGCATCTGACCTCACTAGCACTTGTGTGATTTACTTCACCGGATAAGTCATGAAAATGAATAGCTCCTTCTGTCTCCTCGTTACAAATTCTTGGGCAAGGTCGGCCTAAAGCAAAGAACTGAGAGGGTTCAAATGGTTGATCCCGTATGTATACCTGAGAAGGGAGAGCACAATTATGCACTATAATTTGAGAAAAATTAAAAGCAAGTAAATGTAAAAGGTGCCTTGTATTTCACTGAATGATTTTCAATGTGACAGTGTAGAACATGGAGCATAGGTAACAAGAAGAAACTTTGCCAAAGACTTCAAAGAAATAAGTAGGGAGGTCACTGAACTCGAGAGGGCAACATTGCACAGAAACATTTAATTTTGTGCAGATGATTATTACTTCCATAGAAGAGTAACAATTTATTTCAGAGCTGTTTTTTAAGCATTTTGGAGGTAAGCATGTTTGTCACCTATCATCCCGGTTGGAAAGAGACACTTGATAAACCTTGAGAAATAACATCAGTGGATGGATTATTTGTGGCAACTAATGTCAGACACCAAGGAAACATTCAGAGATCATTATGTTTAAGTAGCGCCAAGAGATTATTGAATGAAAGTATGAAGTAACTGCAATATATCAAGTATCGACATCAAGTATAGACAGCAGTAAACCAAACCAAAAATATTTAACGTGTTATAAAAAAAATCATAGATGAATGGAATTTGAAAATAAGAATCACTTCCACAAGAATAAACTAAAATTCTACCTGTAAGTTGCTTCTCGTGGCTAGCTTGAATAAATTGGAATTGTTTACCACATTAGAACGCTTCCTTGTCAGTCCCCCTTCATCAAGGCTACCATGCCGAAGGAAGAAGTGTCGCCCAACAGCAAACTTAAGGAAAGCATCACCAAGTATTTCAAGCCTTTCAAGGGAAAGCCGCTCCTGGCACTTCTCAGTTGTGAGTGCCTCTAGAACCTTGTATAAAGAAGATTTAACATCAGGGGATTATGAATGGTCATTTGAATACTTGTGTTGGGTAGTATAATGGCCAAATTAGAACAATAAAGTATTTATCAAAAAAACAATACTCAAACAACATTGTGGAGAAAGGCCTTACTCTCTTGGCAGTAACCGCACCTCCCTCTGGGAATGAAGCAGCTAATACATGCTTCAGTTCGATGGCGACAAGCAGGTTTTCCAGCCGGTGCATGAGTGATGGTAACAAAGATATTGAACTCCCAATATCTTTGGAAAATCCTATTACCTTCAACTCGCAAAGCTCAGGTGGCAAGCTAATAAAATACTCCTCTAGTTGTGTCGGTCCTGTATTAATAACATAATAAACTTATACATGATTCTCATGCATGCATGTATTGATTCGTTTGAGCGGTCTGACAAAAGTGAAGCAATGTTTGAGGTGAAACTTTTATAAATCCAAATAACATATATCTGAAACGCAGTGCAGAAATATGACCAACCAAACCACCTCCATAAAAAAGAACTGTGACAGGAAACAAATTCCAACAAGAAATTACCCGAATCTTCTTGCCTTCGGTTGTGTAGCAAGTTGTGTAAAGAGAAAAGTGGTTTGGCATGCAGAAGCTGTTGCTCAGGGTATTTAAGGTGAATGCCAAATCTGCTCAGAATGTTTAAACAAAAGTGCCATGAAAAATAAATGAGAAATAGAATCTGTGAAATTAAAGTTTATTCAGATAAGGTGGATGGAAAGAAATTCATGTATAAAATCCCGTCACATACAAAAAAAACATATATTTCCAGTTAGCACAAAAGTTTGAACAAGGTAATGTACTAATATAAGATGTGCTCAAAAGAGAATATATGTTGACAACTTGACATTAATCGACTTAAGAAACCAGGAAAGCAGCAACTTACTTTTGAATTAAATGGTCCACATAGGTTAAAGTGCCTGAGTTTTTATATTGGCTGTAGCCATTCTTTTCTCGAACAACATCAGTGATGAAGTAAAATGATTTCTTATATGGGACATAGACTAAACTATTCTGAATATCCCTTATGCTTTTGTAACCTGATGCAAGCCGAATATCCAAAGAAGGAACTTTCTCTGTAGCATCTCCTGGAGCCCTGAACACTGGGGATGATAAACATTTTCTGATAGTCCCCCAATCAATGCTTGCTATCTTATCATCGTTACCCAACATTACTGGAAGCAACAGGTAGAAGGTTGATGAGCTTGATCTATCATGCCTTCCCAATGGAACATAATCAGAAACAAATTTCATTCGGTCAAGGACGAGCTTGAGGAACATTTCTTGAAAATTTTGTGCCAGCACGATCTACAAAGAGAAATTCAGGAAACTGAGAAAGACTACACCAAAACTAATAACATTTGGGAAGCAACTGTGTACCTCATCTTTGCCAAAATTGGCAAATCCTGAAGGGACCAACTTTGTAATCACAGATCTACTATGAGCGAGATGAAGATCAAGTTCCATTGTTTCGGCTTCAACTGGGAGAGGAGCCTTAACAAATAGACCAAAGCTTCTATAGATCCTGTCCTCAGGAACAGGGTTAAATTTTATATAGTATGAGCTGAGGGAAACAAGGTCCTCCGAACTACTCCATGGCTCTTTTAGTGCATCAGGAACTAGCATTTCATGTAGTTCTCCTCTTGGATCCTCATCTGGTACATATGGAGACAAAGGAATTGAATAAAATAATAACAAGAGAAAAAAAAGTCTTGACAATGCACTGATATTGTTCAACCTTCGGTACTGTCAGAATCAGAAGACACCAACTCCACCTCATTTGCATTGTCTTGCTGTGGTAAGAGAAAGTCATTTAAGGCACCTAATTTATGCAATTCTTCAATGGCCTTTAGACAAACATCTTTTTTGGCATCTTCCATCGAAGATTGTTGTGTTCCGACAATTTGATGGATTGGCGCATTGGAAGGTAAAATTATCTGACAAACAGTTCCCCCCAAGTCATCGAAAAAAAAGAACTTTGGATTGGGGTCAAAGTACCTGCAACAAGAGATACATCTCATCTCAACTCAAAATAAATATTATACAAGTTTTACACAGCTTCTCGAATGAATGAAGTCATAGCCTTTAAATGAAATTGACAAAAGCAAATAAAAAAGCATCAATTCAGCACAAGGGCTTACTCATCATGTGGAAGCTTTGAACAATACTTGTGTAACAATGAGATGCTATATCCAGAACTGATGGAAGCACCAGAAGAATCGACTTTATACACCCTATCCGCCGAACCAACAAATGTCTCACTGGATGTTCTGAAAGCAATTTCCATGTTCATGTGAGCTTCATCTTGTCTGAAGGTTTCTATTAAATCTCTCTCTTTCTGGTTGCCACTGCAACAAGACTCTGACTTAGAAAAGGAAAAAGTATGAGAAGAATGAGTTAACTTCAAACATAAGCATTAGAAAAGCACCTGTTTACCAAAAATGCATATTCAGACTGAGGCATCCGTGCACGACCTCGTGATTGTATAAAGCTAGCAACAGTTTCTGGAAGATCAAATCGTATCACAAGGCAGCACGTCTGAATATCTAGTCCTTCTTCACCAACTTTAGTTGCAACCAATAGATTCAACTGACAAAGCAACAAAATAAAGGGAATTAAATTCCGCCTCAGTATGCACTATGCAGAGGATTATATTATGCATATAGGATATGTCTTCCCACAAAATAACTCTATGGTTAACTAAAAGTATAAATCATTACCTCTCCAGATCGGAACTTATCAAGAATGATTTTCATCTTCTTCCTTGACATATTCATCAGTCTAGAGTTGACTCCTACAAGAAAATCACACTTCCAAGATGCTAGAAACTTGAGGCGTTGTAGTATGTAAGACAAGGAACTCGCAGTAACAATTCTATTGACAAAAATTATGCATTTCATATTTTGTTGCAACCTGAAAGAGGAAATAAAAAATTGGGGTGATAAGTTACTAACTACTACATGTATGATCAACGAGTTAAGGTAAGGAAGGTGGAAGGTCAGAGTACAAGAACATTAGTAAATGTCTTTGTGAGCATGAAACAATGACAAATAGGACATTGGGATTTTCCATAGGCCATGTGCTTAAGTTTTTTGCGATTCTCAAAGTCAAAACATTGGTATCAACTGCAGGCTTCTCAGTAAATGTGGATCATTAGCTTTCATGTGACAGTGTCAGAATGACATAATGGTCATAAAAGATAGAAATACTCCCATAAATACCAACCTAAAGGATGAAAGAACTCCAATAAGACGTAAGAGCTTTCTTGAGAAAAATGGCTCCTTTAAAATATCTATAGAAGATAGATCATCAGCAATGGAATCTGTAGGCACAGATAAAGTAACATCCCCTCATTAATACTATAAGTACTGTTTGCTCACGAACCAAACTTTGCTCCATTAATGATTATAGATCGAAATTTTAAAAAATAAAGGGAAAGTATAAGTAGTTACCTTTTAAGCAGTCAGTAGTAAGGATGCCATCAACCTGAGTCAGATATCTAACACATAGAGAATCATCACCATTATTTCCTTCCTCCTCTATTAGTTCACTCCTTTCCAAGTGATCGCCACTCAAAAGAACATGACTAGCCTTTAAAAGGGAACCAAAAAAAATAAAAACAAAGAAAGATAACCATTGTAAATGATTAAAAAATAAATAAAAATCAAGAAACAACAAACAAGTGAGAATAACTAGAGTTGAAACTATAAGAATCAGATTGCAAAATAAGCTTCTTCCTTTTTTTCTCTTTCATACCACCTTTGCAGTACTAAATCACTCACTCTAGACACACAACTCAGGGTTTAGGGACGACATAGGTAACTTACCAAGTCCTTCACATACACACAACTCAGGGTTTAGGGACAACAAAGGTAACTTACCAAGTCCTTCACATACTCGTTTAAGTATATAGAAAGATAATTGCAGAAAAGGAATCAAGGAAATAGATAATTAGTATGTATATCAAATATTATCCCTTCTTGTCGCTAAAGGTTACAGTAAGATAACAAATAATTTGACGACCAATAAAATTTTAGAGTTAAAGTTGCTCACTTTTAATGCTCCCCAAAGGCCAAGATTTTCCAAGCAAAACCGTATACTTTCATGCATTCTGTTCAACAGTTTCTTTGTACTCCTTAGACTTTGGTGATCATTTGTCTTCTTACCAAGTTCTGCTATACACTGCCAAAGATAAAGAACCAGGATAAAGAACAAAAACTTTGTAACAAGTAAGAGCCTGTGTAGAACCAAACTAATGTCAAAACAACATGCCTGGTGTTTCATCTGCTCAAGTTTAGTGTAGTAAGTGATATAGGGGCTGGATGCGTCGCTTATAACTGGACCATAATCATACACTGTGATGACAGGAGATGAGACAAAACAATCCAATTCTTTCTTATCAACTGAATAAACCTACAAATAAGGGTGAAATTATGGATTAGCGGTGGGAATCACAAGAACCTTAGATCATAACAGTAATAGCGCAAGTGGCAACTTGCATTTTTTATTACTCTGAAGATAATAAAAGACAGGTTTTCCAACCCATTAGTATCTCAAATTTAAAATTTTCACAACCCACCTTAGCATCAAGTATACTTTCAAGACTATTGATGCATTTTGATAAGTTTTCCCGACTCGAAGCACCTGAAAGCGTAAAAGAAGCATGTAAAAATTTGAGAAACGAAAAGATAAGTCTCAGAAAGATGCTTCAGTTCCGCACAAGTAACACTATCAACGACATTTAATCTCACCAAAACATGCACATTCGCATGTTAACAACACTTTACACAGATGTTTTATGCCAGATAACTTCTAGACTGATATGATGACAGAACTAATCATTGTGATCAAGATGGAGTTCAGATTCATCAATTTGAACACACATTACCTTTCCCTACAACTGGAGATGCCGTCATGCCAAATATACGAGGACGTTTTGTGGTATTAGCATCGTAAAACAACTGTGGACAAAATTGTCAAGGCAGCTTATGTCAATCAAACTCGGTCTCATAAAGATGCAAATTAGAATGTGTTGTCCAGGCAAGTGTTTGAGAGCTCCTTACTTTCATAATTTCTGCATAGGCATGGTTGCTTTGGACTTGAGCATGATGACATTCATCAAATATCAACAAAGAAATTGACTCCATCTTAATGAAACAGTGACATAAGTTTCGTAGCAGTACTTCAGGGATCATAACAAAAACCTGCATCAAGAAATCAACAAAATAAAAATGTAAAATGATGGACAATTATGAGATTGTATCTCAATTGGTGCAAAAATTATAAATGGTATTCACAAAGCTATAAATTCTATCCACTTACACAAGATGGGCCCATAAGAAACAGTGCACCAGTTTCAGAAAATCCTAATTACTTAAAATTAAACTTCACTTGGTGAACTAGACAGGAATTGGATGGTAGCTCACTCATCTTAGCTTTCTCTATGTTGATATAATAGCATTAAAAAAGGCAACATATAGTACTATACAAATAGGAGGATTTGTGGGTATGGATTTATAGACACTGATGTTCAACCTATCAAAAAGTAGAGAATTCTAAGTGAGAGGAAAATGTAGATATTCATGTCAATCAACTGACTAATTACCTCATATTGTTCAATCTCTTTTTCCCAGTCTTGGTGATACTTCAATTGGTTAGAGCCTCCACAATAAATCCCAACATCGAAACCAAGGGAATCTTCTATAACCCTAGCTTGCTGCAATTTTTTTAGAAGAAAACTAAATAAAAAGAATCCATGTTTTCTCACGGAAATTGTAATTTCAGCCAAAAAGGGGGTAAGTAAAAAAAAAATTCTTGCATAGATGTAAACTTATTAACATGTGTGATGGAATCGTCAAACAAGAATTGCACTATTAGCATTAAGAACTCATAGATAAAGAATCGCAAGAACATAACAGTTTAGATTGCAAGGACTCACACAAGCAACTTTGTATGTGTCTAATATAATAAATAAAATTCAAATCCTTTTCAGATCAGATACTACTGAATAATGAAACACTTCTTATTCATGTTTAGCTACAATTCAAAAAAGGAGCATGACAAAATTTTGTTATGCAGTGAGATTGGAGAAACATGCTATAAAGCTATTTACAGCCTAGAGCTAATAGGTAGTGACAGAGTCTATTCCTTCTAAGTAGTCTGCTTGTAAGGAAGAACAGCTTCTTCTGAGTTATGAGTATACAGAATTTTCAATTCATCTATGCTGTCCCTTGGAGTGGATAAGAGGGATAATGAAGTCCCTATGCTCATTTGCATATATCATTAGAGACCACCCGTTGATTTCTAATATATAATGATAAAGTACGCCAACCAGCGCAGAATCCACTTTTCAATTCAGAACCATTTAGTCCAACTGATAGAAGAGCCAAGGTTCAACTCAAACTTAAAGATAACCAAAAATTGCAAAAACAAATTGCTAAGTTCCAAGGATAGAAGAGCATATCACCTGTTGAACCAGAGCCACTGTGGGTGCAAGAAACACGCATACGCTCTTTTGGGGTTTGCGGATCAAGTGGCGCATCTCGTATATAAGCATGACCGCTATGCGGGTTTTCCCACAACCAGTCCCTAGATACACAATTACGTTCTCCTCCAAAGCTTTCTTGCACAGGTCCAATTGATACCTTCAAAATGAACAATTACAATCACTACAACAAAATCAAAAACATTTCCGAAAACAGATAATTAATAAACCTTGCAAACAGAAGCTTGAAAGTCCAGGTTCAAAATCAAACTTAAAAAACCAGCCTTTCATTCATGTCATTGCTAAGAACATTTAATTCGCAACAACAACCAAAAAACACACGCGCAAAAATCCACACTTGACAGAAATAAAAGGAAAACCAACTCTTTTCTCACATTTTCCTATATTTTCCTGCATATTTTCTCTGCAGCCAAACAGGGAAAAAGTAACGCGCACAAAAATAAATGAAATTCCAAAAAAGCAACAAACGAAGAAAATCAATAACCCAGATAACAATGTAGTCAAGAAACGGGGCAAACATACTTTCTGGCGTCCTTCCTCGGGTCTTTCTCCGGCTTCGAAGCTCCATGACCGGACTTGACCCGGTCGGTAGACGAACCGCCCTGATCAGACGGTGGAGAACTTCCGCCAGCGCCGTCCATGCTACTGGCAGTGTGGGATGATCGGCTTCGCAGTCGGACCGACCGTCGTCCAAAGCGGAGCGCGAGAGCGTGTGTTTTCTTCAAGTCGCGTGCACTGTCGCTGCGCGACTCTGAATGTCCGTAGGCTCGATTGAATAATGGTGACGACTGACGAGAATCGGGGAATAGCGTGCGAAGTGGGTAGCTTTTGACCACTTGGGCAAAATTCGAGTGGGTCCGGGGTCCCCTGAGATTCTCAGTATTGACGTAAGTTGAGTGCTTGACTTGCTCGAGTTTATAGTCTCCGACTCTCCGGCTTCTCTTTGCTTTTCATAAAAGCTTATGGGATATAAATAGGATTAAGAAGTAAAATACCAAGTTCTAGATTAGTATAGAAATTTTGTTTGCATAAGTGTAAAGAGTGTATTTTTTTTTAGTAATTGATCTCCTAATCAGCACGTGAGAGGATGAACATGATCACGTGACGTTGGCGGTGGATTTAAGGTGCATAAATAGTGGGTTATAATTGATTGCCTAATCAGCACGTGAGAGAACGAATGTGCTCACGTGAGGCAGGCGGTGGATTCTAGGTGTTGAAAGAATGGATTTTGTTATAAAAGATTGACCAATCAACACATGAGAAGACGAATGTGAGGACGTGAGAAGACAAAAAACATGATCACGTGAGGCAGGCAATGGATTCTATGTACAGAAAGAGTGGATTTTGTAATTGATTACCTAACCAATACGTAAGATGACAAATGTGAGCACGTGACAGGATAATGTCATGCGTATAGAAAGTGTGTATGTCGCAATTATTTTATCACCTATTTTGCATGTGAGAGGAGACGAATGTGAGCATATAAGAATAGGAACATAGTGTGTAAAGAAAGTAACTTTTCTTAATTACGTAATTAGCACGTGAGAGGATGAATGTGAGCACGTGGGAAGATGAATGTATGTGTAAAGAAACTTAATTTTTTTAATCACCTAATTAGCAGGTGAAATGGAACATATGTGAGCACGTGAGAAAATGAATGTATTGTGTAAAGAAAATAATTTTTTTTAGCGCCAAATTAGCACGTGAGAGGATGAGTGTGAGCACATGGAAAGATGAAAGAAGTGGGTAAAGAAAGTAACTTTTCTTTAATCACCTAATTAGTTAGTGTGAGGGAACGGATCTGAGCATGTGATAAAATGAATACAATTTATAAGAAAGTAATTTTTTATCTCTAAATTAGCACATGAAAAGATAAATGTAATTTGTAAAGAAAATAAATTTTTATTGCCTAATTAACGTGTGAGGATAAATATGAATTGCGAAGAAAGTGTGTCGTTTCTTAATAAACATATATGAGGCATAATAGTGTATTTTTATTTTTTAACGAAATGTGAGGTATAATAATTGATGACTCAACGTCATCGAGTAGGTGTAAGGTGCGGTAAATGATCATCTCACCTATCATTCTTGTAATAAAGGTTCAGGAGAAATATTAGGACATTTTTTCAAAAGTGGAACTTTTTAGAGATTTTCAGTCACTTCATGTTTTGGTATGATTTTCATGCCAATATTAACGTATTGTGCTTAAAATATAAGGTGATGAAAATTTTATATAAAGTTCTACTTTCAGAGAGTCTCCTTCGCATTTCTAAAAAGTGGTGATATCTACACGCGTGCGGAATTAAGGTGTAGCTAAGAGTGGATTTTTTATTATAATTGATTGCCTAATCAGCACTTGAGATGACGAATGTGAGCATGTGAGACAAGTGGTGGATTTTATGTGTAGAAAGAGTGGATTTTGTTATAAATGATTGCTTAATCAACACGTGAGATGATGAATGTGAGCGCACGAGAGGATGAACGGGATCATGTGAGGCGGGCAATGGATTCTATGTGTAGAAAGAGTGGATTTTGTTATAATTGATTGTCTAACTGTGAGACTCCGTATTTAAAAAAAATATATATATATATATTTATTATTATTATTTAAAAAGAGTTGTTATTGGGTTTTCTTTTATATATATAATTTCTAGCTTTGGCTTAAGTTTCCACTTGATGTACTATAACTAGCAGCTCCCCATATGTATATTTATCTAGTTATTAAGTTTATACCCTTTTACAATGTTCTACTACATTTACTTGATAACCTTCAAGTTGTCAAGGTGTCTAGCTATTATTCATACAAATCCTACCACTCATTAAAAGGTACTTGTAAGCTTTTTTATGGCTTGAGTAGGCTAATATGATCTCTCCCTCTTTTTTGTATATCGACACCTGCACCTTTACACTTCATCATCTTCTCTAGGCAACTCAGGTTGTTGACACCTCCTACTCTAGACAACCATTATCCATTTCAATTTATGGACTCTTAGAGTAGTTCCACTGGACACAAAATTGCCCAGCACCCTGTCCAAAAATTAGCCCAGCACCCTGTCAATCTGCTCCAGCTCGCAAAACAACATGGCACCCAGCCCAAGTCAGGGAACAGACCAGCCCATTTCGGACAGACCCAGAGGCCGGCCTATTTAGCTGGTGCGTGCAGCACACTTACGACTGGGCGTGAGTAGGAAACAAGGGTGCAGGCGGCGGGGCCCGCTTGTAAGCCCACTTGTGTTCACCCAGATTAGAGCTACATGACCCTCCTCAGTGTCGTTGGATTTCCAAAGGTAAAAAAAATTAAATTTGACTTTTAAAATGGATCGTCCGATCACATATCAACAGTCCACATTTTTTTCACCAAAAATAAAAATAAAATAAATAAAAAAAGGGCCAACGGTCAGAATTATGATCGTTGGCCACGTGACAGCACTAACGGTCCAGATTAATTAACTATATTAAAATTATTAAAAATTATTAAAAAATACATAAATTTTTTTAAAAAAGTTTTTTTTTTCTATAAATATCTAACCCTCATCTTCCACCTTATACCACATTTCAATATTTTCTACACTTTCTACCAAAGTTTTCATATACTTTTTGTGTGAAAAAAAATACCAAAAAACTCATCCTTAATTTTTTTTGTCCATATAAACCATACGTCCCTACATCCATCTTCATCGTTTTCAAATCTTGAGTTTTTTTACAATGTCTTCTTCAAGGAGAGTGCATAAACAATTTGTGGAGCAACAGAAAAGATTGTTGGCACAACAAGAAGAATTGATCAATCTCAAGGAAGGTGGAGGTGGACATGAGGCTTTCAAATTGGAGGAGGACTCGGATGATGACCATAGAAGGCAGATGGCCTCACATTCCCGCTGTGTCATGGAAGCTGTGGGTCAGATAGCCAAACCCAGGCGTGCCGCAAACTTCGATAGAAAAAGGGAAAGACAAGGTAAAGATCTCTTGGAAGATTATTTTATTCCTAACAGCGTATTCCCTGATCATGTTTTTAGACGTCGTTTTAGAATGCAATGAAGTTTGTTCAACAAAATCATGAGTGCTATTTGCAACCATGATCCATATTTTGTGCAAAAAGATGATGATTTTCGTGTTCTAGGTCTTCTTCCAGAGCAAAAAATTATGGTTGCCTTGCGAATGCTTGCATATGGAGTATCTGCAAATCAAATGGATGAGATTACGAGGATAAGAAAAACAATTGTTTTGGAGTCCTTGATGTGGTTTTGCTCTGCAATTGAAGCCCTATACACCAATGAGTACCTCTGGACATCCACGCCAAGGGACATGCGATGGCTTCTGAGGAAGGGTGAGATGCGAGGCTTCCTTGGCATGATTGGAAGCATCGACTGCATGCACTGGACTTGGAAAAATTGTCCAAGTGCATGGCAAGGAGCTTATGGCGACAAAAAATGAGTCAAAAGTATCATTTTGGAAGTGGTGGCTTCATTTGATACATGGATTTGGCATGCTTTTTTTGGTGTTACAGGAGCTCAGAATGACCTAAATGTCCTTGCTAAATCTCCAGTGTTCGACGATCTGTTGCAAGGAAAATCGCCCAGATGCACATATTGGGTTAATGGCACTAAATACGACGGAGCATACTACCTTGCAGATGGCATTTACCCAAGGTGTTCTACGTTTGTCAAAACAGTGCCACATCCGCAGATTGAAAAGAAAAACACTTCGCAAAATGTCAAGAGGGGTGTAGGAAGGATGTGGAGGGTTATTTTGGTATCCTACAAGCTCGTTGGCAATTGTTAGGTCTGCTGCTAGAATGTTTGATGTCGAGGCTCTTCAATCTATCATGATGACGTGTATTATTCTTCACAACATGACTGTGGAATATGTGTATGATTATGATGTCGTCGATGAATATGAGCCGGATCCGATGAACAACTTAAGGACACGTATCTACTATGCTCATGACCGGACCGAAGATCCCGTGCAACACGAGCCGTTAAAACGAGATAGACATTACAATGAATTGATCATTCAGCGGTACACTGATGTGCAAGAGCCATACTGGCACGTAACCCGCCAAAATGACTTGATTGAGCACCAATGGGGATTGCAAGAAGGTGAAGATAATTAAAATAAGCTTGTGGTTGAAGAGTAAAGTGAATTTGATGAGTTTATGTAATTTTATTTTAGTGTGCTTTTTTTAAGTTTATTTGATGAGTATGTAATTTTATTTTAGTTTGTTTTTTTTTTTTAAGTTTATTTGAAATCTTATCCGAAATTGGTTAAAAATCTTATCCGAAAATAAAACTATTTTTTTATTTATTCTTTTAAAAAAATATAAAATATTTTAAATGGGCTGGGTGCCAGCGCATTTTGTAGGTGTGGAGATCGTTTGTGTCATCGCATTTTTAGATTGGGTTCTAGCGCATTTTTTTAGGAGTGGAGATGCTTTGGCCTATTACTATTCACTGGGGTCTATTACTGTTCACTTGAGTGGATAAATGCGCTGGGTGCTGGCGCAAAATCTTTAAGGATGGAACTGCTCTTAACTATTAAGTTTTCTCTACCATTGGTCCTACCAATATAGAATAAGGATAGTTACGGACTTTGTCTCGTATAAATAGCTTCCACCTTCTCAATTTTATGCACATTATTTATCAACCTTTTTCCCTCTTTATCATGTTGCATGCAGCCATGCAAAGTGTCAGTTTATATACATGTACGTGTGTGTGTGTGTGTGTGTGTGTGTGTGTAGAGGGAGATTAGAATATAAAAGAGTGGAAGAAATACATGATGTTAGGAGCGATCAAGGAGCTTCCTCAAGTACATGGAACTTAGCTATTTTGGTATTGACGTGGATAAGTACGTGGACCTTAGTTATTCTGGTAGTGACATAGATCTTCGTTTTAGCTTTGGAATCCAGGTAGGGGAAATAAGGCATACCTTTA